TATGTAGTAGCTTCCATCAAAATGAACTTTATTGCTTAAATTTGAGATTGATTAAAGAGATTACTTCTTAGTTGAATAAAGAGATATAGGTGGGTGTAGGTGTGAGTGTTCGTTTTTTATCATTCCCACCCACATCCACACCCTCACTTAGTAAGCCTAAAGCTTAAGCATTATTCGTATTAGAATTAACTAATGTTTATGTGTTAGCATTAATTTAGTATTATTTTTAATGCTAATACATATACTGCATATAAGTTCTGGTCTGCTACCTTGGCATGCTACCTTTAATTTTTCAACGCATACCAGGGGGTGCTCTTTGTAGCTTCTCAAGAGGGTGTCGATGTGATGTGGGTGTGGGTATGATACTTATCCTTACACCAATACCCACAACCACACCCAACTTTATCTACTGCCCAGTTAAGTTTTTATAAGACTTCGAATTTTTTATCCATTTTACTAATCATATTTGCTTTTTTGAGGAAAGTAGGTATTCATTTTATATATTAGGAAAACCTTGATTGATTAAGATCATAAAATTACTTTTTAGCAAATTACATTCGAAGTGAAAAGTTTAGAAAATTTAATTTCATTTACAGCATAAATTTTTTCGTTAATTGGAACAAAATCTTTCCTATCTTAATTAAAAAATGATTTTCATATTGTTCGACATATTCTTTCTCTCCTGGAAATTCAACAACGATATCTAGTTAAGTTTGCTGAAGCTTGCGATTAAAGCATGTTCAAATATTCATTGTAAAAGAAGCAACAAGTTCAGGTCATATTATGTTTACTAAAACACAGTTCATAGTGATACAATGAAAAGATAATCATAACAATCATTGTCGTAGATGCTTCAAATGACTGACTTCAAAAGACGTATCAAAGAATGCAAGACAAATTGAAATGGTTCATGCAAAATCTATGTATAAATGAGAAATGTCTTAACTTTCTTCTGTTGTGTTAAAAACATACTTAATCAATAGATGCTTGTTAGTCCATTGAATGTTTTTTTTTCTTATCGGTATTAGTAACTGCTGGAGTTAGATTTGTAATCATGCACTTTATTTAAAATATATATTTTTAAATGTTTATGAAGTACAAGCTAGGTATGAAAAAGCTATTAGTGTAATCCATATAGAATTTAAATGTGAAACACGATGTAACTAGAAAAATCAACCAAATCCAAATTTGGAATGTTTTCTTCAAAGTCATTGATAGTTTGTAGAGTCTGTCAATAATGCTTCATGTTACCTGTGTCTCTGGGGCCTCGTACGCTTTCTAATCATGTTTGTAATAACTGCCATCGGCATGGAGAGCTTTGTGTATGATAGTTTGTGATTTGGCAAGAGAGAGGGAGGGCGAGATGCAAATTTGTACCCTATACACTTCAACACTCCTTGTCAGATCGTGTATCACAAAAGGGAGGAAGAACACGAAGGAAGGGAAACGTAAAACATTAAGATTTTGAAATATTATTCTTAGTAGTTCGATTGATATCAAATAAATAAATCCTATTCTTGATGCATGGATTGGAGTTTGTACAACTCGAATAATTTTTTATGAAGTTGCATCAAATTTTGCATGTTTTGATTACAAGTTTGACAATTGTTTGGAGAATCGATATTAGAACAGAGTAATCCTAACGTCGATATGATCTCTTTTGCGATGAGTTTGTAATAATCTTGTAAAATTTGGATGTGAGTTTTGAGTTTCAATTCCGTAACACGTTGATCATTCTGTAATTTTGTAATCATTCCTAGATACGAAATATCAGTTAAAATTGATGAAGATTCAATATTTCACTGAGAATTAGAACCCGAGAAAGTTTCGGAATTCGACATAGAATCAAAATCCGTCTTCTCAGATTCTGAATCTGAGTAATATTTTGAGTCCAATAGAGATCCATTGTTGTTTGGTAACTGATTCTTAATTAATGATATTTTTTGTGATTAGTTCACTCCACACTTTTGAACAATTACCATCGATGCAATCTATCAAAAAATTCAAAGTGATGCATGTTCCTTTTTATACATCAACTATTTACTCGATCAAGTGCAGGTATAACGAATATTGATTTCTTTTAGTCCATGAGGATATGGATCTTTCTTTAAATTTTGCTTGATACATGAAAAGTACATTCTTTCGACTGTGTAGTTTAATTTCAAAGTTCAACAACAATATCTCGCACATCTGTACTACAATTAGATCGATAACTAGTGCTATAGATAGCATTGTCTATTGTTAATACACTGCTATCTTCTGAGCATTTCAATTGAACAATGTTATTTTCAGTAGCAGTTACATTATGTTGTATAAATGTTGAAACTAAACATTCCAATATATATTTCATTCAATATAATTACAATAATAAATGAACAATAGGAATTAAATGGATCCTTAAAAGCATATTCCACTGAAATCGATGTCTTGTATTCGTTGAAACAACGAGGCATTAGTACATACCGAATTGGTTCAATTTCAAATTCTGTTAACAAACTTTCTCAAAGCAGTATTCAAACAGTTGTTTTTCGAAATGATCTTCTGGCATATTAACATTCACTGACAAAAATCTTACCTGTTGTTAATGTTATAACATCACAAAGAATCGAATTCCAATGGGATATAAAGCTGACAGATGAAAGTTGAATTCCATTGTTACCATCTGCCTTCCAAGTACCATTTGAAACATGTTTCGAAGTGTATTCATGATGAAATGTTCCACTTATCGTTCCATCTGTTTGTTTAAAGGTAAAACGTGTATCGGCATAAAAGGCAGTGTCTAATTTATATGTGTCTTCATTTGAAATGCACTGGATAGTAATAGCAACGACAACACGATATGTTCGTGAGGGTGTGGGTGTTAATCTGCCCTTCATTCATACCCACACCTACACTCACACCCTATCATGCCGTGTATCATAAAACCACCAACACGACAGATATCACATTTCTCGATTACTGAAGTGTAATTTACCATTTGGATCGAACCATTTGAAGAGTCTAAAACAAAAAATAATAGTTAATATTAGCTTTTAGCTCTTGCATGTAGCTTACCACTTGTACGAGATCAACTTGAAAAGTCTAAAACAAAACAAAAATTAATATTAGCTTTTCATTTCGAAATGTAACTTACCATATAGGTCACATCCATTTGAAGAATCTAAAACAAAGAAAAAGTTTATATTATAGAACAAGAAATGAATGGGTAATTAACAATAACATATGAAAAAATATAGAAGAACAGCTAAATGATTTATTTGTAAAAAATAATGGATGGAAAATTGACACACGTGATATTTCGATATTTATTCTAAAACATCATCATCAGACGAAATCCAACACCTTGAACTAAAAAATATAATAATCTGTTCGAGTCAGAAACATAGCTAACAAGAACTGATATAAAGTATAATGAATTTATACACCCCTGGAGTAGGCATGGAAAAGTTCCTTGGTAATATATTAATGGCATAGGAATTCAATAATGTTTCGGCGAGTGCGTAGTAAGTTCATGAATGATTATGTTATCAGTTGAAAGTGTAAGAGAGTGTAGTTAGTAGAGTAGATGCGAAGTGATGTATAAATGACGATATCAATACACGACTTGTTTGTTTGGAGGATGCATGAGGATAAAAGGATATATGGTAGTGATGGTGAATGAATGCGTCATATTGTTTTTTTCGTTCTGGGTGTGAATTGAAGTATATATGCATGGGTAGAGTCTTTATGAGCTACTTATGATAGGTAAATCTGATAAACGTATCGTATGCTTTTCGTTGTTGTGTCTTTTTTAAGTTTTTTTGTTCAAGACCATCAGGATAAATGTATAATGGAAAATGATCGAATTATTTTGTTTAATTTTAGTTTTGATGCCTGTATTAATAGAGACTCTTTAATTGATAGTTTATATTCATGTCTTTCTTTTAATCAAATTTGGCAATCATTATCATTAAGTGTGTGGTCAGACGTAGAGTGATGTTTGCATTCGTTATTAATTGCTAATGATCTAATAAATTCAAATTCATGATTTATAGAGCAGTATATGAGAAGCAGATTTTAATAGCTCTATAAACCATAGTTGATAGTACATTGTACTTATAAATTTTTTGGTACGAAGCTATTCCATTTAGTGATAAGACCAGTGAATGTATAGGTTTCCTATAAACTTAGGTTTGGAGACCGCCACCCGGTTGGCGCTTTACCAAGACATCAAGAAATGATAGTACCTGTGTTATTAGATTTTCCTTTTTGTTCTTCTTTTTTCTCTTTTTCAACAGTAAATTTAATGGATCAATGGTATTGAGATAGAGTATAACAGGTGTCATCAACAGAAATTTTTGGGTCAACTAATACAAAAATATCATCCACATAACGTTTCCAGTAAACAATACCCATATCTTCACAGGACGACAAATATATTCTCTCAAAGTCTTGAAGAAAAATTTCAGCCGAAAGTGGAGCTAAAGGTGATCCCATTGATACTCCATCTATCTGGTCATATAATTTTCCGTCAAACAGAAAATGAGAATTTTTTGTTGCTAACTCAAGTAACACCTTTATATCTGCTCGATTTATTGCAGGTAGTTCGGCATTATCATCATATAAACGTTTAAGAATTATGTCTTTGTTTCAGCAAGTGGTATATTAGTATATAGACGAGTAATATCAAAGGATACCATCTTGTATTAAGACATAGAATTTGGTAGTGCAAGTAATTCTTTAACAAATGAAAATGAATCGCGAATCATATTTTTTTTTTCGATTATGTTTGATAATAATTGTGAGAGAACTTTTCCAATTCCGTAGTTAAATGTTCCAATGGCCGAAACAACCTGTCGAAGTGGAACATCTTCCTTATGTACTTTTGGTAAGCCGTAAAGATATCCAGAAATCGAACCGGTAGGCTTTACCATATTAAAAAATCCTTTTGAAATATGACAGTCATTAAATAATCTATTCAATAATTTAACTAATCTAGTTTCTCGACTAATTGTAGGGTCCTACGAGCGAAACGTAAATTTAGTTGAATCGTTAAGTATAGTATACATTTTTGATAAATATTCGGCTTTATTTAACAAAACAAATCCTCTGCCTTTATCTGGATGAGTAACAATAATTGATTTGTTTTGTTTTAAATTTTTTAATAAATGACGATATTTTTTCTGTTCAGTATTAATTCTATTCTGTAATTGTCCAAAACGATAAACTTGATGAGGAAATGAATCAGTAATAGAACGTAAACTACTTGTTAAAGTCAATTCTTTTGAATTGAGAACACGAACATCAGAACCAATAACTGTATCTTTCTTATTAAGTTCAGATACAAGGTTTTTATGATGTTGAGAAATATCAGTAACCCAATGAAAAACATTTTCAATATCACTGATAATATTCATATTATCAACCTTTCTAGGAACAAGACCATAATCTAATCCATGCGAAAGACAATTAGTTATGTCATTTGACAACATATGAGACCGTAAATTGTTAACAACCTTTCGATCGACAGAATGTATTCTTCTTCGACGTATTTGAAATGAATTTAGATATGTTGTCAGGTATATTTTGTTTCAGCTCATTCAGCAAATACATGTAATTTTCTTTTTAATATATGTAAATCATGATATTTGAAATTAATTTCAGCTTGTAAAAAACATCTTTGAAATTCCCTGCACGCTGAAGACATTGAAAGCCTTTCATTTGCAGTTTTAAGCCACAGAAATCTTGGAATAATGTCTCTAGATGGAATATACTTAAGGAACTTCAAATCGAGTAGGAACGATTGATAATGTTCATGTACCTTTTTCGTACAATCATAAATCCGTACTACATTTCGACCATAATGATAATTTAGGTAACCACCAATACTCATATTTTCCGATAACGCCATAACAACTGCTGAAAAATAAGAAAAACTATTCTTTTGCAAATTAGCCTATGTGTATGGGTGTTGCTTGAGAGGAGAACTGCGGTCATACCCATACTTCACACCCACACCCTATTATCAATATATTATTTCACTAGTTGCACAGTAGGTTATAAAATCATATGTATTCCAATATGTTTTGCTTTGCTATAGTGGGCATCTTTTGAATCGATTTTGGTTTTGCATCATCAAAATATAAATATTCTAGTTGTGATTTAGCCTGTACAAATAAAATATTTAAAAAAAAAGATGAATAACTACTACAATTCATCTCACTTTGAATGCATAAACACAGGTCTGACAAAGTATATGTAATAAACCGTAAATATGATATAAATAATCGTGTGATTTGCAAAATAATGAGCAAAGAATATCTTGTTGCTATTGAAATTCTATTAACATATTGCTATATGCATCAGGTTACATAATGTCATGTTATGGGCAAATCCTATGAATTTGTCGAATTCCTTTTGAATGCAGGGAAAATTTTCATATTCACAATCAAATGAGAAAAAATGGCAAAAAGTCAATGTGACGACAATCTTCACAGAGTTTTTTAAAGAAAAGGTATATCAACTCATGATTTTATTGTTGTGACGACATCGTCATATCCGTTCTTTTCTGATTATTTTCCTTCCTGCTATCGTATCTCTTGCTGTTCTATTTATACTTTCCACTCTCTCTCTCTCTCTTCTGGCTGCGTATATAAACGAGTGCTTTGTATGTAAATGAGGCGATTCTTGATAAGAATTAATACAATTAATCGTAATTCCATCAGCGCTAACTCTTCTTCTATACAAAAAATCGTCACAATTGTATCTTTCAAGAATTTATTGTAATGCTAGCCGTTCAATGTAGTACGATTTTTCTTGACTGAAAGGAGTGTCAAATGAAACAAAATGACTTGGTATGCTTGTAAGTTTGTTGGCACCAATGTGCCAGTCAGACTTTTCTTATAGCTAGGATCTCGTCCAATCTGATTTCGACCAATGAGCTGTTTTCTCACTTAATTGCCGATGAAATCACAACTTTTTGGTGTCAAGAATGCAATCAATAAAATAATTTTATGTGTAGGGTGTGGGGGATTGATGCGAATGAAAAAAAAATATCAAGGCATCTTCATCCATACCAAAAATCACAACTATAGCCAATTTCGTCCTAAACCACACACTCATATAGGTACAACCATATTCTTTTGATTATGTGAAAAAGTCAAAATGAAAGATCAGAATGTGTATGTATTGTCAGATACGACATAAATCTTTCTAACTATTCCATAGACAACAAAATACATTTATTAGAATTTCACATACCCTTAATCGGCATTTAAAATAGCTTATACATGTCATCTCGATTCTTATATTAACAGCAGGCCATGTTAAAAATTGGTTTTGATTATAAAATTCGGATAAAAAACAAACTGATCTTTTTCCGAACATTTCTTTGTGGATGCAACTGCTGTTGAAGTTCAAATTTTAAATAATGTCGATTTTTTTAAAAATATCAGTTTAACTTGAAAAAATAATTTCAAATAAAAATTATATATATTTGTATTACCTTAGAGAAAAATTGATTCACGTTCATGATAATGTATCTCCTATTTATTTCAACCTAAAATATAAAGGAACTTCTTTTTTAAATTAGTTGTACTTTTTAAATTATCATTAATTGAATCATTGAATAAAAATGCATTGGAATGTCTTATCACTAGTCATTCTTTAATTTTAAACGATCTGACTCACTTCAAATCATATTCGAATGACTTTCGTTATATATGTGAGTTTGTTTCTGTTATTTTTGTACTCATTCTTTTCACAATTGTTTTATACATGTTTTACTATTACCACGTGCAATTCTATTTCATCATACGTGTATTTGAAGAGAAATGAAAAAAAAAGAAAAAGAACGAGACAAGATAAAGAGAACGGAAGAAGAAAAAGCCTTGCCATACTTCAAAAGTATGAATCGAGTCATATGAAAACGAAAAGAGTAAAGAGCGTACGAAGCAAAAAAAAACATTATTATCAATAGCAAGCGTACGGGCTGCAATTCTTTAACTGTGGTGAGTTTATTATTAGGAAGATTCGAAAAGGTAAAGAAACTACTTGCAATGTTATAAATTTAGTATTGAGACACTGCGAATATTAGGAACATGTCATACATATACAACATTGACAATTATGATCGACTCTACATAAGTCGATTGATAGGGCAATGTATGCCAGTCACTGGCTGTGTTGATGCGTGAGTCTTGCCGTAAAAACTGTTCGAAAACTACAGTTTACCTGCAGTTCGTCATGGTTTATCTATAGGTCTTACTTTATGAATATCTTTGGTCTCTTAGGAAAAATCATTGATTTCAGTCAAAAATAGTACTTTCTGAAGGTTGTGAGTGCACTCAAGGCATCCGTGGCAGCTACAGCTAGCTATATCGACTGTTTCGGGTCACTTTTCAAGTTTGACTATCTATTAAAGATAGTATCACAGATAGAGTAATTGGTTAGAGGACTTGAACGATTGAAAGAAATGTAATGCGTTCTGAAGAAAGGATACTTTACAATTAGCAAACAACAGCCCATGTGTTCGACTGCAGTGAAACTGCGATTGCACTGTGACCCGTAATTGCGAAAAATTGCGTCGCAGTTTCTATAAGAGATCACAGATGAGATTTTCGTTGTATCAATTTTTTTATCGTGAATTATGTTAAAGAAACTTTCACCATACAATAAATTAAAATATTTGAAAAAATTAAAAATTAAAAATTTAGCAAAATAAAAAACTTAGAAATTTTTATAAAAAAATAAGAACAAGAATTAAAAAAAGTTTTTCATATTAAAAAATAATACATACAAAATTTTTAATATTAAATTTCAAAAAAAATTTAAACATTTAAAAAATAGAAGAATAAATATCTACAAATATAACATTAATATACAAAAAAAATTTTAATTTTGAAAAAACTAAACAGTTGAAAATAAAAAATTAATATTTAGAAAATAACAAAAGTTACTAATAAAAACAAAAAATATTAAAAATCCTGTCGGAATATTTATTCTGCTTTTTGTAGTAGAATGAATAAAGGAGCCGAAGTCTTCTCGATACGGCTTTTTATACAGTGTCTACGTGGCTAAGTTTTAGCGCTGGAGTGTGACCAATTATAAATAAAGAGGAATGAATTATAATTTGTCAGTATCAATTACAGTGGATCCTGTGATACGATTACTGCGACGCAGTTCATAAA